AAGAAAAAAAAAAACTTTCCCTAATACACACAGATAAAACCCTTTTTTCAACCTGAAAAACTGTGTTTAAAAAAAGGACAAAGTGGATCCTTATGAAAAACACGGGACGTTTCTACAGTAAAACAATTACACAGAGGTAAACCGAAAAACTGCTCCAAAAGTAACCTTGTTGACTGACAAGCAAAAATCACTCCTATCAGCACCGCTAAACGATCTGCGCTATACACGCAATCTTTTTACTGCAAACACCTAAAAAACCTGTTTACAACAAAAAGTCTGCTGGACGTGTCGAAACACGCTGACAACAGCAGCTGTTTAAAACAAAACCCGCTTTACAATAAGGAACTAATTTTAACAATGAAAAAACACAAGAAAAAACATAATCACTATACAAGAAATCTATGTGCAAAAACCCTCACTTTGACTTACACCGCGCTCACTAAATGTGGAACTTGAGGAAATATAAAAAACTCGCTTAACACACTTTAAATTGTGGCTGGCAATACGCAAATTTAAAGCTAAAAGCAAACAAATGAAACTGTAAAAAAATTTGGATTAAAAACACAATCTATGGGTCAAATGCATATAGGGAAACTTCATGCACATTGCATAGAGATTACACTCAAAGCACATTGGAAAAAGGGTAGCCAACAAAATGGCCACGCCAAACTAAAAAAGGATCACATGTGGTTAGTCAAGAAAATGGCCCCCACAGGGGAAGCACATGGTAGTCAACACTAGAATGGCCCCCCACAGGGAAGCACACGGCAGCAGACTCTAGCCTCAAAATTGCCTTGCTAACCTCTCTTACATAAAACAGACTTTTAGACAGAACATACACTGGACAATTACACAACAATATACAGCACACACATACAACACAATTTGGCACGATCACAGAACGGACATAAAACACCAACATATCACACTAACATGCACATGTACATGTAACAGAAAGACCCCCTGCTGTAAAAACTGCTTGCTGGGAGCAGTAGTACCACAAAACATTGCACAGACTACATACACACAAAGATCTTACAACAGTTAACAATTAACCTAAGCCTTTCAGCAAACTGTAAAAATTACCTCACGTGGAGGGGGTAAAGCAATTACACACAGTACCTACAACCCACAAATACTTACCTAACACTATGCAACAACTTTTACCCACTAAAACATATACCCGTTTAATTTTTTGGTTGGAAGATTTTTAAACTTGACCAAATCCAGCCAACCAAACCCACCCCTCTCTGCTGCTCTCGCGCAGAGACCCACTGAAAGTTTTCCTTGGAGTGTAGAGCTTACAGGATGTTGCTGCTTCATGCCACCATGTAGGCTAGACCACTCCCCCAACATCAGACTTTATGCAAAGTGAATTTTTTGTACAAATTTATTTCAATATAAATATATATATAAATATAAATATAACACACACACATATACTGTACATACACACACATATATATAACTAGAAGCCATGAAATATGTCATTTTAATCTTCGTGTCACCAAGGAATCTGGGCTGAGGCTTTCTTATCTCCATGCCCCACCACTAGGGGATATGTGTGAACTCCCAGGACCAGGATTTTGGTATGCAATCTTTTGTTACAAACATGTCCCGTTGTAAATTCTTGTTTTACTGACATTCCAGCAGCCCAAATGGGTTCTTTGTTAACCAGGCAGTACGAATCCATAAAAGTCTTATATAAAAAACATGTTACCTTCCAACAAGGGGGGAATTATGGTGTGCAGTTGTTTTTCAGGGTTGGGCTTGGCCTCTTAGTTAAAGTGAAGGGAATTCTTAAGGCGTCAGCATACCAAGACATTTTGGACAATTTCATGCTCCCAACTTTGTGGGAACATTTTTGAGGATGGCCCCTTCTTGTTCCAACATGACTGCGCACACCAGTGCAGAAAGCAAGGTCCATAAAGACATGGATGAGACAGTTTTGGGGTGGAGGAACTTGACTGGCCTGCACCGAGTCCTGATCTCAACCCGATAGAACACCTTTGGGATGAATTAGAGCAGGGATTGCGAGCCAGGCCTTTTCGTCTGACATCAGTGCCTGACCTCAACAAATGTGCTTCTGGAAAAATGGAAAAACAATTCCCATAACAAGAGAAATATTTGGCACACTAAGAAGAAAAAGATCAAATGTATAATGTGATGGCTAGTATATTAACTACACAAGTAAAGTCTTAAAGTCCAAAGGTGGTTATGGGATAATCCAATAATGCTCAACCTGGTGTCAGCCGCTGTGCAACTCCTGGCCGGTCCCCACTGCAGGCAGGGTTTCCAATGCACTGTCCTTGACTGTGCTGGTGATTCCCAGTACTTCCTGGGAAGTGTGGATCCTCAGGGCAGGAGGGAGTGATGTCAGCTCCAGCACCATACTCCTTCATCAGGCCATAGAGGGGGCATAATTGGCAAATCATAGTGGTGGACTATAGGGCCCAGCCAATCATGGAGAGGCCCAAGTGTCACCGTAGGTTAGTACAAACAAAAAATTAAGCCTCCCTCTCTTAAACAAATTAGAGTAAGTGCTCTTAAAATAAATTACAATAAATACAATACAATAAATATATAAGGAGAATATTAAGGGAAAATTATGCAAATTAGGCATGTATCTCACTACGCACTAAAACTGAGATCATAAGGGTCCTGTATGAATAAATATATATGTACAAATTTACATTGAGTTGGTTATACCAGGATGATGCTTGCAGCTACAGGCATCATCCTGGTATAGTTTTTTCAGCCGGTGGTTGGCCTTCATGTAAAAGCAATCCTAGTAGCCAATTAGCAGCTGTATTATTATATAAAGCTTTGGGAGGGGACACTCCTCTCCCTCCTGCTGCCTTCTACAGCTTTCTTGGGCTGTCACTCCCGTCCGGGAACCTGAGAATTGCTCCAATCATCTTTATAGTTCTAAGAAATCAGAAGCTACACTTCATCACTTTGGTTTCACCGGATAGAAATAGCGCCATTTTTAAATTGAGAAGCATCTAAAAGCCAATGGGCGGGCAGGGGTGCAGAGATGAACTGTGAAGAAAAAAGAAGACCAGAAAGGAAGCATATTGAGGGCCAGTTTCATACTACATGCGTTTCAGTTGCTTTTTCTCTGCACCCAAAATGCAGAGAAAGTAGGCTCCCAAAAGTCTCACACATGTGGTATCCCCATACTTGGTAGAAATAGCAGAATGTATTTTGGGGTGTAATTCCACATATACCCATGGCATGCGTGGGCAATATATTGTTTAATTGACAACTTTGTGTAAAAAAAAAAAAAAAAAAGTTTTGTGTTCTTTTCTAAAGACCTGTGATAAAAAAATAAATTTCCCCATTGACTCAGCATGCCTCTCATCAAATAGCCTAGGGAGTCCACTTTTACAAAAAGGGTACTTTGGGGTGAGGGGGTTGTGCTATTCTGGCATTTCAGAGCCTCTGAAACTGTGACAGGTAGTGAGAAAGTGAAATGAGGAAATTAGGCTTTCAAAGGAGCCATTGGATTGAAGGCTGTTGTATGCAACTAGGCTTCCAAAAAGTCTTCCTACGTCACACGTCTGGTATCCCCATACTCTAGAGAAGTAGCAGACTATATTTTTGGGGTGTAATTCCACATATACCCATGGCATGTGTGTGCAATATACCATTTAGGTGACAAAATTTTTTGTGATTTTTCCAAAAACTTGTGGAAAAAAATAATAAATCCTCCATGGACTCAACATGCCTCTCAGCCAACAGCTTAGGGTGTCTACTTCCCAAAAAGCGGTCATTTGGGGGTGTTTGTACTGCCGAGGCATTTTAGCACCTCACAAAATGTGATCTGATAGGCAGTCAGAAAGTAAAAGCTGCGCAAAATTCTAGTATCATAGTTTGTAGACGCTATAACTTTAACACAAACCAATTAATATAATACACTTATTGGGATTTTGTTTACCAAAGACATGTAGCAGATTACGTTTTGGACCTACATTTATGACAAAATATGAGTTTATTGGATATTTTTTAGAACAGAAACAAGAAAATATTTTTTTTTTTTAAATCTTTGGTCTTTTTTAGTTTATATAGCAAAAAATAAAAAAAAACAGTGGTGATGAAATATAACCAAAAGAAACCTCTATTTGTGTGAAAAAAAAAATTATAAAAATTATATAAATTTCTTTTGGGTACAGTGTTGCAATTACCAGTTAAAGTAGTGCAGCGCCATATAGCAAAAAATGGCCTGGTCTTTGAAGGGGGTAAATCTTCTGTAGACCAAATGGTTAATTTATCCTAGCACTGTAGGGAATTATTTGTTATTATTAACATATGCGTGTGTATGCATGTGAGCCTGTATATTTAAAGATAAAAAAAATAGCATTTATTTGACATTATACTAGTGGTATAAATATTACAGTTTATTTACAATTGTGATGGGCATGGTTTTCTGTAATATCTATTATATTGTTTGTGTTGATGTGTTTTTATGAAGGGGTCTATATATATATATCCTATGATTTTAAAGGTTTAAGCAATAAAGTGGATTGTTTTTAAATGTGTAAATGTGTAGTAATGTTTCTCTGGGAGACCACCCACCCTTGAAATTCTTTTTGTTAAAGTTTGCGGTTTTTTCCGCTATTGAAGATTTTCAGTAATTATTATTAGAGATGAGCGAATTATTCAAAAATTCGGTTCGGCTGATTCGCCGAATTCGCCGAATAAATTCGCTTCGAGCCTAATATATTCGCTGCGAATTTAACTTATAAAAAGGGTGTTTCTAGGCTTCAGAGAGCCTTTATATTAGTGCAGAACACTGTACCTTTAATTTAAATGCCCTTGGAGTCTGCTGGGGAAGAGAAATAATACTGTCAGTCAGTATGACATGCAGATGAGTGCCGTCGATCTTAGAATCACCGCACACTTCACTCATTTGGGCAGTCACGGGGCCAAAACCAGAGTGTGTGGAGCCACAGTGTGGCGGTGGAGGCAGCAGCAATGGGAGGCCATACAGCCCCCTATGACAAAATGGAACCCACCAGCAGTGTGAGGAGACCTGAAAGTGACACCATGGCAGAGTGTGGCGATGGAGACAGCAGCAATGGGAGGCCGTACAGGGACCCATGACACACTCTGGACCTGGCAGCAGCATGAGGAGGCGGTACAGGGGCCCATGACAGATTACGGGCCTGGCAGCAGCATGAGGAGTCGGTACGGGGGCCCATGGCAGATTACGGGCCTGGCAGCAGCATGAGGAGGCGGTACAGGGGCCCATGGCAGAGTGGGCGGAGCGTAAGCAGCTAAAATTGAAGGCCATACAGAGGCCTATGTTAAAAAGTCCCCCAGCAGCAGCGTGGGGAGACGACTATCAAGAGTCCAATGGCAGAGTGGCGGAGCAGATAGCAGCTTCAATTGAAGGCCATACACAGGCCTAGGTTTAAAAGTCCCTCACAGGTTAATTCCAATAACGAACTCTACTCCTCCGTGCAATCTACTTACGAGACCCTGGGCAGGTCTGGGTCCAATTTGTGGTAGAGACTGGTTTTGTTCAGCCATGCTTGAGCGAGTAATAACAGGTCTGTGCTGCCCATTGGTGTCTGGCCTTAATGCGCACAACACTGAACGTCCCAGCGTTTGTCAACGATTTTGCCGTTAAGTGATGCAAACCCGCTGAACCACGGTTCATGAGGAGCCGGTACACAGGGGGCCATGAATCAGTATGGACCTGGCAGCAGCGTGAGCAGACGACAGAGGCACATGGCGCAGGGTGGCGGTGTAGGCAGCATTATTCTGAAGCCATACACAGGCTAGGTTAAAAACGGAAGCCGTCAGCAAGCGTGAGCAGACGACAAGGCACATGGCGCAGGGTGGCGGTGGAGGCAGCAGTCCCCCCAATGGAAGGCCATTACAGCACCCTATCACAAAATGGAACCCGACCAACAGTGTAAGGAGACCTGAAAGTGGCACATGGCAGAGTCTGGCGATGAAGTCAGCAGCAATGGTGAGGCCGTACAGGGACCCATGACACACACTTTGGACCTGGCAGCAGCAAGAGGAGGCGGTACACGGGGCCCATGGGCAAAGAGTGGCGAAGCGTAAGCAGCTTAAATTGAAGGCCATACAGAGGCCTATGTTAAAAAGTCCCCCCCAGCAGCAGTGTGGGGAGACGACTATCAAGAGTCCAATGGCAGAATGGTGGAGCAGAAAGCAGCTTCAATTGAAGGCCATACACAGGCCTAGGTTAAAAAGTCCCCCCAGCAGACAGCGTGGGGAAGACGACTATCAAGAGTCCAATGGCAGAGTGGCGGAGCGAAGCAGCAGCTTCAATTGAAGGCCATACACAGGCCTAGGTTAAAAAGTCCCCCCAGCAGCAGTGTGGGGAGACGACTATCAAAGAGTCCAATGGCTGAGTGGCGATCCGGGAAGTCAGCGTTGTGATTGCAGATGCAATGCAGAAATTCTTACGAAGTAATGCCGTGGGTGCGAAGAAGATCATATACCCGTCGTACTTCCATCCATAAGAACGGAACAACCTGCGAACCGGGAGCTTTATTGCCCTGACCCGCTGAGCAGCTTCTACCCAAGAGGCCCATGGTGATACCCAAGAGGCCATAACCCATGGCAGAGTGGCGGAGCGACATCAAGTTTCGGAAGCGTAAGCAGCTTCAATTAAAGGCCATACAGAGGCCTATTTTAAAAAGTTCCCCCCAGCAGCAGCGTGGGGAGACGACTATCAAGAGTCCCAATGGCAGAGTGGCGGAGCGGAAGCAGCTTCAATTGAAGGCCATACACAGGCCTAGGTTAAAAAGTCCCCCAGCAGCAGTGTGGGGAGACGACTATCAAGAGATCACAATGGCAGAGTGGCGGAGCGGAAGCAGGCTTCAATTGAAGGCCATACACAGGCCTAGGTTAAAAAGCTTCCCCCCCAGCAGCAGTGTGGGAGACGACTATCAAGAGTCCAATGGCTGAGTGGCGATCCGGGAAGTCAGCGTTGTGATTGCAGATGCAATGCAGAAATTCCTACGAAGTAATGCCGTGGGTGCGAAGAAGATCATATCACCGTCGTACTTCCATCCCATAAGACGGAACAACCCTGCGAACCGGGAAGCTTATATGCCCTGACCCGCTGAGCAGCTTCTGGATACCACAAGAGTTTGGCTTTCTGTGAGGGAATATGGTTTGAAAACTGAAATCTTAAAGGCATGAGTTGACGGACAGGGCACCAGTGTCAGTGCTCCAGGAGGGAATATAGCTTCAAAGCTGACACATAAAAGGTATATCGACGGTCAAGAGACCACAGGAAGTGGAGCTTGCGTCTTAAATCGACTGAATGTGCAGACGTTGAAAACGTCTACGGGCCCGTATATGAAACTCGGGTTGTTCCTCTTTCTGGAATAAGTGTTGGAAATGGCCACTCCTTTTGAGGTGTGGCGTTTTGTCTATTTAATTCCGATAACGGACACTTACTACTCCTCCGTTTGCAATCTAGTTACCTAGACCCTGGGCAGGTCTGGGTCCAATTGTGGTAGAGACTGGTGTTTGGTTCAGCCATGCTTGAGCGAGTAATAACAGGTCTGTGCCTGCCCTTTGGTGTCTGGCTTAATGCGCCACAACACTGAACGTCCCAGCATTTGTCAACGATTTTGCCGTTATAGTGATGCAAACCCGCTGAACCACGTTCATGAGGAGCCGAGTACAGGCGGGGCCATGAATCAGTATGGACCTGGCAGCAGTGTGTTTTTTTTGAGGAGACCCAAAAGTTTTGGTGGGGGGGGCCCCCCCAAAACATGGCGCAGGAGTGGCGGCGGATTGAGGCAGCAGTATTCGGAAGCCATACACAGAGCCAAGGTTAAAAAGCGGAAGCCTCGTCAGCAAGCGTGAGCAGACGACAGAGTGCACATGGCGCAGTCGGTGGCGGTGGAGGCAGCAGTATTCGGAAGCCATACACAGGCCTAGGTTTTAAAAACTGGAACCCAGCAGCATGACAGAGACGACAAAGACGCACATGCAGAGGATGGTATCTGGCAGCAGTATGAGAAGGCGGTATACAGGGGCCCGTGGCCACAGTGTAGGTGATGGGGGCTACAGCAACTGGATGCGCAGCAAGTGGCCGATAGGGCTATATACTGCATGGAATTATAAAGTTGTAAAGACAGCGGCCTATAAGGCTATACACACTATAACAATCATGACTTGATTGACCATTGGCCTCTAAGGCTATACACAGCATGAATATCATGACTTCTTCTGAGAGTGGTTTGGAAGCGCTATGATACAAAAAGTAATTACATGAGTCTGGTCCCCCGGACAGCGGACAATAAGTACATATATACAAATCAATTCATCCAGCTGTCCAGCCAGCGGCCTCAAAGGCGACACATATAGAAGCAATTCATGAGCTGTTCAACAGCGGCCTCTAAGGGCGACAGATAACTACAACGCAATTCCCGAGGTGTTCAGGGAGCGGCCTGAACGGCTAGGTCTATTACTAAATTTATTTTTTGTGGTCAAACATCGGCTATAAATAGTGACTGTCTACACAGTGACAAAAAAATTATGTCGCCAGACAGCGGCCCCTAAGGCGACAGATATACAAAGCAATTCCCGAGGTGTTCAGTTTGAGCGGCTTGAAACGGCTAGGTTATTGGACTAAATATATTCTTTCTGGCCAAACATCGGCCCTATAAATAGATTGTCTACACAGTGACAAAAAAGTAGGCTCGCGCGTTACAGCAGCGGCGTATCCTACAAATTGACATTATAGAAATGGTTTAGGACCAAAAAAAAAAAAAAAAAAAAAACTTTGATGCGATGCTATACCTTAGTAGATTTGTGGAAAGTCGACAAGTCGTAACTGGTGTACATTACAGAAAATCTTAACAAGACATACCAAACATGTGGCCCAAACCCGTGACCGATACAACAAGTTAACAATGTAAGAAACAGGAGGGGGCCAAACCGTGGCCAATAAATTAAACAGTCCAACCTCATTGATGAGATGGACAACACGGTGTTCAAATAAAAAATATTTTAAAAAAATTGCTATTCCATCGGTCTGGAACTGGTCGACTATACAATAATTAAAAAGTTTAAATTCATGTGACAGTCATCCAGCGACGTATAAATAATTTAAAAACACCAATTCATGAGGGCCCGGACCAGGCAGAGTATAAGTCATTAAAAAGGTTCAATTCATTGTGACGGTCGTCCACCGCGAAGTATAAATACATTTAAAAACCCCCCAATTCATGGAGGGCCCGACCTGGCAGAGTATAAGTCATTAAAAATGTGCAAAACAGCATGAGGCTTCGGGCCGACCAGCAGCCTCTCAATAAATATATATACAAATGTACGGATCAGGTGGAGGTCTTCCATTTGTCCCTAATTTAACATGTTTGGGGCATGATTATCATGGCGGATTTAGTCAGTTGTGTCAGGAAACTGGTGGTTTGAAATCCAGACTAATCCACGCCTGATTCATTTTCACAAAACGTGAGTACTCTCCACACTTTGGGTGGACAGTCGTGTCCTCCCGCCGGAGTTTACAATACCTGCCTGCCGCACTAAACACGCGCTCCCGATGCCACGCTACTGGCCGGGCATGACAGCCTTTCAAGGGCAAATTCAGCCCTAGTTGTGGCCAAAGGTCAGTTTCGTTGCCCAGTAAGTCAAGGGATGATTGTCTACCTCGGTTGGCAGGGGTTCCCTTCTCAGGCTGTGTCCAATGTTAGGCCCCAAGCCTGTTGTTTGAGGTCCCTGCTCCAGGTCCACCTGATGCTGCTGTGGCTGGTTAGTGTGTTTCCTCACTGCGCTGGTGAAGAAAGCTACTCATCATCGACTGCAGACTGAGGCAGCCGCTGCCTGGTGGAGCTGCCACTGTCGGCCTACCACCCCCACCCCCTACCCTGCTGCCAATGGCAGCGGAACGCGCTGAGCGCACAGGGCCCACAGTGTCCTGAGTTCTGAGGATGGACGTTGGCGAGAAAGGCAGAGACCAACTGACAACATAGTTGGTTTTATAGTAACTTTATTTTGGCCTCCCTCTCAGCAGTGTGAAAAAGGCCACCATCATTTGAACGGTAGCGAGGTCCAACAAGTGGTGTGACAGCCAAAAGTCATCCCTCTGTCTGATGGTTATTATTCGGCTGTCGCTGAACGCAAGCAACCGAGCATGCTATGGGCCATTTGTGCCAGGACCATGCGAGGGACTTCCCTGCCTCCATCTCCACAGCATACTGCCATGGTGCGTCTGGGTCCTCTGTCTCCATCCTCCTCCTCTAACCAGATGCTCCTGCTCCTCCACTCCTGTCCGCTGAGTTGGAAAAACCACCCATTTCACTTCAATAATTCCCTGAGCGACCATGTCCTCCTCTACCATCCTCTCACCCCCCCTCTTCCTGTCCTGCCCCCACAGGGGTCATGTGGCGTTGAGATCTGTGCGCCACGTCTACCGCACCCCTGACCATGGCCATTGTTAACAGCATTTGTTCCAGGACGTGCAACAGAGGAATGAGCGTCGATTCATCCCATAGTCCTGCCGACTTCACGAATAGCGTGGCCTCCTCAAAGGGCCTGAGCAAGCGGCAGGTGTCAACGCATGAGCTGCCAATGGCTGACATCTAAGTTACACAGGGGAGTACCTTTATCCGCTCTGTAACACCATCAGGAAATCGGTGATGGCCTTTTGCTGTTCGTAAGGCGGTCTAACATATGTAGGGTTGAATTCCACCTTGTTGCAACGTCGCAGATCAGGCGATGCTGTGGAATTCTGTTCTGCCGCTGCAGCTCAAGGAGGGTGCTTATGCGGTGTAGGAATGGCTGAAATGCATGCAAAGTTTACGTGACATTTTAAGGATGTCTTGCAGTGGGATGGTGGATTTTAGGAACCCGCTTGACAACCAGATTGAACACGTGAGCCATGCATGGCGCATGGCACAATACCCTTTCCTTGACGCAGAGCAGACACCATGTTTCTTTCCGTTGTCGGTCCAAACATGGTTCCGATTTCAGTTTGCGCAGGGGAGCGTAACAGCCATCTGTCGATTTCTCTGTTC